ACACACATTAAAGGTGGGGTAGGTAATTTTGGAGAAAGAAGCTCGAGTGCACTAGAATTTGAAAGTACACAGCCGGAAAAAATCTGCCACTTCCTTCAGACTTCCTCACAGAGCCCCTCCTCCAACACACACGAATGCGCACATGACCAATGAGGGCACAAGATAACTTTGTGCACAGATGGAAGGCTGGCAGGCAGGTAGGCCATCCTGTTATTTTAGCCGGGCCGGCTCAGATGATTGGTCGTGCTTTTTACCACGGCTTCCACAGATGACGTTTTTTGATTGATTTTTTGTCAAAGCACTTAAGATATTCATTGCTATCGGGATGTTAAGAGCATTCCATGGAATATAACAAAAAGTGTATCTTGAGCCGGTTTCTCAAATGTACCTACCCCACCTTTAACATTTGATGAAACCAAAAAATATCAGAAGAAAAATAATCCTTGTGGAATTATGGATCTATAATGTCATGTTTATCATTAGTGTAAAGATACTGAAGGTCAGGGTTTATTTAAATGCCTGAACCCTATCATGGCCACTCCAGGCAAACAGTGTCACATGACATTTGGATCGGTTAATGCACATGCTAAACCACATGCACATCTGTGAGAGTGCATTGCTCTGCAGATGTGGACAGTATGTGACTCAACCCTTTCAATTTAAAGGACCACCGGTTCTTCTCCTAGCTTCTTTAGATGTCTGAGACTTCCATCAGACCTCTCCATTCTCCCTCCAGGATATCTTTTTCATTCCTTTGCTGTTTGGATGTAAAGAATGTATATGTGTTTCGTACAGTGTACAACATACACTTTCTCGCACATTAAGAGGGATGGGAGTACTGTCCGGCATCTTCCCTTCAAATTGCAGTACGCAACCATTGGACCATTGGTGAAGCCAATCTAGTTCTTTACCTCAGTCTTGGATCACTGTTACCCAGCTGGTCCAGTACCAGCACAGATCATCCTGTCCTTTTCATGTTTCATCCTACCTTCACCTATGGACATGACCCCCAGATACTTGAAATACTTTAATTGGGGCATCAATTTGGGAGTTATCAGAGTACCATCTCCTCGGACTTGATGGTGTGACCTTCTTCCGAAATGCTTTGCCTTCTAATAGTTTCACCCTAGAGTTCACAGGTTGATAAAGACAGCAAGATTGAATCTGGGAAAAGAAGATGTGCGTAGATATGAATCCTGTGAATCTTAGCCTAACCAATGCTGCTGAAGGGTTGATTCTTAACTTCTCCAATTCACTTAAGTATTTGTTTTGCATTTCACAATTAACTCCTTAAACTGCCCTTACATGAACCACAAGTCAGCATCAACAGCAGCTCCATGTGAATGGAACAGAAACAGAAAATAATACGCACTAATCAATATTGCTGATTGTGCTGCTACAAAGGAAAGTAGCCGTGAAACGGTTGAAAAGTGACACTCTTCCTTGGACAGCTATTCTACCAAACAAAGCCCTCACAGAGAGACAATCGTCTTTACTGTGCATTTGCTTTATTCCTGAAGAAAGAAATGAAAGAGAAACAAAAGGCATTTGTAATGGATATCAAAGGTAAAGTGTACTGGCCTTCAAAGGAGAGCGTCCTGGAAATGGACACAGCACACAAAAGCTTGATTGTGCGAAACCTCTCCACTGTCCGGCTTGTTTTTGCTTGCTTGTTGTTTTATTTATTTAATTTAAAGCAGTTTTTTGATTTTGTGTTTGTGGATTTTTTGTTCTTGGTTGCAACAAAATATCTAGTAAACTATGAAAGGATATTTGTATGCAGTTGCAACACAGAAAAGATTGAATAAAAGGGAAGAAATATGACCACCAATGCCAATTGTGGCATAACAAAAATTGAATCCTAATTATTTGATCATTTGGGCTACAGGTCTCTTTGAATCCAAACCTGGGATTTGCATTATGATATGTAGTTGTGGTCATAATGATTTCTTTCACACTTATTTCATTCAACATTTTGACTGCTTTATGGCCTTAGTTTGCATTATGCATATATGTTTGTACTGCTTACTTAACATTGCTTTTATGTGTTTTTCAGGTTGTGGTTTCTTTTGATTTACTTATTTTATCCTTTGTGGTTGATTTGTGTCCTGGCCTCTTTGTTTTGCAGATGAGGGCAGGAGTGCAGTTGACCTGGCAGGAGGGGCTCAGATAGTAGCTGAACACATTAAATCCCTCTACCAAAATACTGAGCCGGAAAATGAGAAGCTCTTGACTGTCTTTTGTGGCATGCTGATGAACTATAGCAATGATAATGGTAATGACCATCTTCCCCCAAGAACAACTGTTAACTAATCTAACTAATCAGCGGATGTTCTCTTTCTTATACACAGACGATGGTACATCTGTTTTTGTCACAAGACAGTAGGGTGAACATTACATGCTTTTCTCTTTTGGACTGACCTCTCTTGACCTTTCTACCATGCTGTCTGTTGCCTTTCCAACATCACATCTGAGGTAATCTGCAGTTATTCATATTTGCTGAGTCAGCTTTCATAGAAGCAGTACAGTTTCTGCGTTGTTGTAGACGTTCTGTAGACCCTGCAGGTAGAACATATTCATTAGCAGGTTCCTGTCCCTGCTTTTAAGCCCTACTAGCAGCATGGCTCTAGAAACCATTCTAGTCCCTCAGTGTGATCCAGATGAAAATATGTCAACAATTATTGGGTTGATTGCCATGAAATGTCGTATAGACATCCAAAGCCCCAAAAAGTATACGTTTTAACCACACTCTGACATTTGGTCCAGCAGCAGACTACAAGATGATTGGCAAAAAAAAAGTGTACAGATATTCACGGTTCACACATAATTTATTCTGAGGACTTTTCCTATAGCTGTTATTAAGGTAAAGATTTGTGGTTTAAAAGGAAGTGTATCTATATAAAGCTATCCGTTTTGGATGGATTGACATGAAATTCAGTTCACACCTTCATGTCTCGTTCAGGATGAACTGTAATCATTTTTGTCTAACTCTGATGTAGAGCCATCATCAGGTCAAAAATGCAGTTTTTCCAATACTTGTTTATGAACCAACACCTACAAAACTAATTACCTTCTCATCAGTTATACTTTGATGCTATGTAGATTTCTATGGATGCTAGCACACTAAACTAAGGTGGCGACAATGATAATCTGCTACACATATCAGCATGTTATTTTTGTAAAAATGTTAGCATGTAGACATTAGCATTTAGCACAAATATACGGCAATAAAGCCTCACAGAGCCTATATGGCTGTAGATTCTATATTTCTTTCTTGTGTTCTGATAAACAAATAAGGAACTACATGTTTATCCAATTCAAAATTGTTGGTGGGTGTATCTTTTTTTAATTCACTTTGACCAGAGCCAGGCTAGCTAACCTTCTTTTCAGACTTTATGCTAAGCTAGGCTAACTACAGCTTGACTCCTGGTCTGTACTGCCCACACCAACAGGATGTATTTAACAAGAAGTTGATCTATCCTGTCAGGTAGGGAGTCTATACATAGGAACCTGTTGGGTAACTTGTGTAAAATGTAAATAAATGAATCAATCTAGTCTTAAGCAGGCCTTATCTTTTTTTAGCATTGTACAGATTTTCAACAAAATAACCAACATTTTTTAAGAAAAACATAGGGTGAAATCATTTTATCAAGCTTTTATGTTCCCATGCTCAAAAAGGTTGCAGTTTATCCTACAGTGTACTTTCTGTATGATTTCTCTTCCATATGTTTCTATCTCCATAATCTATCCAGATTCTTTCTATATACATACTTTAAAATGTACAGGATGTACTGTTACCATCCATGCATCTTCTTTCTGGACTATGCTACAGTTTTCTGTCTTTGTGACAACAAGGCTTGTATACAGGAGCAAGTATTTGATCTGACAGACTCACATCTCCTGCCAAGTTTCTGTTGGCACTGGACAATGGTTGCTTCTATTTGTCCGGGTGATGCTTTGGTGTTGGGTTGCTCTAACAGAATGAATGAGGTTTTGTGGCTTTCTGCAGCTTTCTGCAGCTTCCAGCAGCTTCCAGCATCTTCCAGCTTCTAGCTGACTCCTCAAAACTTTCCTAATGTTGAAACAACAACTTTGCCCTTACTAAATCAAACACTGAATCATCAGCATCCGCTATATTCACATACTGCATATTTAAAGTATTCTTGTGACAACCATGCTACAAGCAGGAATCTTTTAACTGTTCTTCAATGAGGGCAATGCATTAACAGAAGGAGTGCTAGTATTGAAATATAAATATTTTTAAGGATTGCGATTGTGTTCTAAGTGGGAATTTTTTTTTAAGTTTAAAGATAACGTTGTCTGTGCGCGTTGGTTACTCTGTAATGGCAGCAGTTTTGGCTTAATTTCAGTACTGCAATGGCTAGTTACGAGAAGAGAATATCAACAAAAAAAACCTTGACTTTCTTTGACTTCTCACCACCTGCCTCCAAATATACTGTTCTTCCACTTCCGCTGAAGGGTTAGGTTGCCCTGCTACTATAAGTTTTGATTGACATTAATTAAGTAAGGGGCTGATGAGATCTTTTGAGAATTGTTCTTGAGACTTTAACTCAACTTGTTCCTTCCTGTTTTTTTATGGTCATCCCCCCACTTGTGTCTTTCTCCGCCATTGATTTGTTCACCCTAGTTTCTAATTAAGAAATACATTTTAATACTTATCTTTCCTTTTTTCACATTTCTCCTGAGCTCTACCACTTCTTCTCCACTCCCCGTGATGTGTAGAGGGTGTGGCTGAATGACTTTTTAATGCAGATATTATGTTGGCACATGCATTCAATTAGAAAATTTGATTCAACGTTTTAAGGGGGAATAAAGTTCTGATTGACCCACAAAATCAGTGGCATCATTTACGCAACAACCTTTTATTTTTGCTAACGTAGGCCACCATAAGCCACAAACTAAGTAAAGGCTGAAGGACTTTTAGCAAGCTCATTGAATCGTGAGAGATTTATTTTCTCTTTTTCATAGCATTTATTGAATTAGATAGCATTATGGTGATCACATTTCAGCAATCTAACATTACGATTAGAACAATGGATCGACTGCCTGTCTTCCCTATCTTTGTTTTTTCAGATTCCTTACAAGCTCAGCTGATCAATATGGGTGTGATTCCCACTCTGGTGAAGCTGCTAGGCATCCACTCCCACAACGTAGCCCTGACAGAAATGTGTCTAATTGCCTTTGGGAATTTGGCAGAGCTTGGTGAGTATACCTGAATATCTGTTTTTAGCTTAATCCAGTATAATTAATGTCTTTTAATTATAAAGACTGCCAGAATCCACACATTTATAAAGAGGCCCTTTTATGCTCATTTTCAGGTTTCAGAATGTATTTAGTGCCTCTACTGTGACATGTCTCCATGCTTTAATGTTCAAAAATTCTTTATTTCTCTCATACTGCCTGTGCTGCAGCACCTTTTTTCACCCTCTGTCTGAAACCAGAGCCCAGTCTGCTCTGATTGGTTAGCTGGCTGGCTCTATTGTGATTGGTCAACTGCTTAGAGATGTCCCGCCCCTTAGCCTCATGTACATTCTGTTGGAGTGCTAGCCAATAGAAGCGTTAGTGTTACGTAGTGATGTCACTATCTTACAGAAGTAAACAAAGGAGTCCCATGGAAGCGTTTCAGGCAGGGGGGGGGGGAGTTTGTAGGAGAGAAACTCCCTCTGGAGGGAACACAGGGATGTTTGCCTTTGCAGACCATTTACATGCACTAACACATAGAACGTAAAGGATTTCTCCTCCTCTGACTCTGCTCTGGTGTTTTCAGAGTCCAGCAAAGAACAGTTTGCCTCCACCAATATCGCTGAGGAGCTGGTGCGTCTGTTCCAGAAGCAGACAGAACACGAGAAGAAGGAAATGATTTTTGAAGTTCTGGCTCCACTTGCAGAAAACGGTAATGGGATTTTTCTTTGATCTCTTTTTCATTATTAAGTCTTACCGAATGCCGTATCCACTGTACGGTGAAGGGAAGAGATTAAGATATAAAATAGAGAGACTGCGGTGCTCTCTCTAGCGTTTAGATTACAATCATGTCCGCCTACTCCTCAGTAAATTATCCCCTCAGTGTGAGTCATGCTTTCCGGGATAGCTGCTATCTGCACAGTCATGGCAGACTGTGTGTGTGTGTGTGTGTGTGTGTGTGTGTGTGTGTGTGTGTGTGTGTGTGTGTGTGTGTGTGTGTGTGTGTGTGTGTGTGTGTGTGTGTGTGTGTGTGTGTGGCAGGCAGAGAGCATCTTACTTGCTGTTGTTATCACCATTCCAGGCACACTGGGTGCTCCCACACTGTCAGTCTCCAGGACAACGTCCTACTTAACTCCACTCTAGAGAAAGCTCTCTCTCCATCTGTTTCATTCCGTCGCTCTGCATCCTGTCAGATACAGATAAAGAAATCTAACGGTGACAATTTGTGCTCAATTGTTTAGGTTTTCACAAATTGTCCTAACATAGAAGGAACATTTCAAAATAATTTCCTAACAACTGCAAAAAAGCAGACTATAGGCGCTTTCACACCGGAGTACTGTTCCCAGTATAGTTCCTATAGATCTTGAAATGTTGCGTTCACACCAAAAAAAGCCGGAACTAGAACTTAGTTCATGAGAACCTTTTCACCCCTTTTTTAGTCCCTGCTAGAGAGCAGGTACTTTCATGGGAGAAAAAGGTTCCCATTTCTGATTGGCTGGCCGGATTGCAAACCAGGCCCCGTAAAACTCGGAAAGTTTTGTGAAGCCGCCATTGTATTTGCTGGCATTAGCATAANGCAAGGGGCCGGGAAAAAGATGGCTTGAAATATGAGCAATCATATTAAGAACAATATATGCACTCCACTATGCTGTTGTAGTATTTACTGTATCCGAAGTTCTTAATATGATTGCTCATATTTCAAGCCATCTTTTTCCCGGCCCCTTGCTTTGGATCATTTTCAACAACCGGGCCCCATTCCAAACTAATTGAATAGCCCTACTGTACATCAATGACATCTGTAAAATATCAAATATACTGAGGCTAGTTTTATTTGCTGACGATACAAATATACTCTGTTCTGGGGAGAATTTAGAACAGCTAGTGGAGAACATAGAAAATGAAATGTACAAATTAAAAAACATGTTTTGACAAAAATAAACTATCATTAAACTTGAGTAAAACAAAATGAATGTTGTTCGGTAAACATAGAACAAAAATACAAATGCAAATAAAAATAGATGGGGTTGAAATTGAAAGAGTCCATGAAGTTAAATGTCTTGGGGTGATCATAGATGACAAAATAAATTGGGAATTACACATAAACATGTACAATCTAAGCTGCCAAGAAGCATTTCCATTATAAACAAAGTAAAAACAAGTCCTGGATCAGAAATCACTTCTCATTCTCTTCTGTTCACTAGTCTTACCATATCTGAATTAGTGTGCTGAAATCTGGGGCAACAACTACAAAAGTTCAATACATGCAGTATCTATTCTACAAAAAGAAGCCATACGAATCATTCACAATGCCAAATACCTTGATCACACTAACGCATTATTCCTGCAGTCAAAATTGTTAAAATGTACAGACCTGGTAGAATTCCAAACGGCACAAATCATGTTTAAGGCAAATAACTTTTTACCAGGAAACATCCAAGAAGTATTCACTCAACGAGTGGGGGGATATAGTTCAAGGAGACCATTTCAATTCAAAATTCATAGGGTCCGTACAACCAGAAGAACTTTTTGTATCTCAACCTCTGGAGTGAGACTATGGAACAGTGAATGTGGAGCTAAAGCCATGTCCAGACATTAACCAGTCCAAGAGGAAATACAGAGAAATTATTTTTCTCGAGATACAGGGATGGGGAAGGTGTTTGACTATGTGTATGTGTATATGTGTGAGTATGTAGGTGTGTATATGGATGTGTGCATTTATATATATATATCAGTGTATGTATATGCGTATATGTATGTATGTCAATCAACAGATAAAGCCGATTAATAATATCAATAATAATGCATAAAAATGATAAT